CCTAGGCCTACATCCTCTATGTATGAATCCTTCTATTTCTCCGGATATAACCTGTACCTGTTCTGCATAAACTTCCGAGACAAAGCAGGTGCGACAACGACGTTATTCCACCAACAATGTGCTTCTAGAATAGCCAACGGGTACCGAGTACTGTCCGAAGAACAGCTAAACGCAGCAATCTGTAAGACATTCTAGTCTCCATGTAACATATCTATTAGTTATCGTAATTTTCATGCATGCCTGAGGTCTACTGACTCCTCACTCCCTTATACCAATGAGATCGTTATTCGTCTATAGGGTAGGCTATAGATATGTACGTATCATGGTGTTGTGTAAGTTTTAGCGTCATGCCTGATTGTGATCGTTTTGTGTGTTGCCTCCTGGTACCACATCTACATGTGAATATAATTAGCTTATTTTATCTTGAGACAAAATATCACGTCTGCCTATCGGCTTACAATGTCTGCGCCGTCAGTAATAGCGGTTCGACCAAGTCTTTTTGCAAGCCAGAGAGACGGTACCCTCCTCGCGTGCAGCCTTACATTGTCATTTGACAATCTCTCATACAACGCCATTTTGGGGAGACGTGGGCTCAAAGTCGCCGGCCGTTACAAGTCACAAGCACCCTGTCTTCTTTCACAGCGGCCTTCATACCCTGGCGTGTACGAAAGCCACCAGTTACTGACAAGATTGTAATGGACTGGTTCATTCGCAGTAAACTGGTGCTTACAGTCGGAGTGTGGTGTGTGTCTCCGCCGATTCCAAGAAATCCACACCCGCCCCCATAATAACCTTGAGTTGCTCCAGACAATGCTGTGATTCATGGCCGCTCTGATGATTTGTGTTGGTTTTTGCTGCCTCTACAAACCTTGGCGTTGTGTCCTGAATTTCGGAAGAGGAATAGTGAAATTCAGACATTGCAGTACTTGGTGGCACGTATCATGCTTACATGTGTAGAAGTCAATCCATGTTAATTTAGCGGCCCTTTTGGAATGTCATTCCTGACTCCTCGTTTACCTCCATGATGATAACTGCCAATCACAGTTGCAACGGCTTGGCATGTGGCGAATAAAGTATTTGCTTAAAAGAGGGGGAGATGACGACGCAAGTGGCTTGAAGCTTGAATTGCAGCCCTACAAGTAAATAGCTTCAACTAATACAACGGCCCACAGTCTAGAATTAGTTTAAGCTTTGATCATTAAAAGTAAATTTCTAGAAGCTTTTAGACAACAGCATATTTTGACTTGACACCACTTGAGTGAGATAGCCGCGTAGCAAGAACAGCTTACAACAGAGCAGATCTAGCGGATGAAAGAGTAGATTTAACATTCATAGAATGCACGGATTGTACATCAATTAACTTTTCTTCAACATTGACCTTGCTGACGCCACTCGCGTCAGTGCAAGTCGGAATTGACGCTCGCCGTGTCAAGCCCATCCAAAGGCGTCAATTCGGTCCGCGACACCATTCGTTTGTAACCTAGGTCGGTACCGATTCTGGGAGTCTCGGCTCATGGCAGCATGAAATCTATATACTTTAGATTGAAAGTGTAATAACTACGTGGCAATTAACTTGCGGAGAAATAAATTAATTTTTGGCATCATCGTCGACAGACAAATGAGAAGCAGGAAAAGTTGGGCCTGTGTAGCAATTTCCAAGATTTACGAGAAAAAAAAAGTTAACAAAAAATTAAATTATTAAAAAAACTCAATCGTAGCACTTGATGCCAGTCATGTACAATACCAAGGCCAATTAGCTATACAGTAGAACTCAAAAAATATAAATAGGAGCTGTATTCGAGACCTAGAATGATCTACTCTCTACAACTTAATCTACTCTACAAACAAGATACATTACTATTCACACTTTATTTACCGCCAATATGAAGTATTCCATGCTCTCTGCTGTAGCCGTTCTTGCGGCAACCTCGCTAGGTTTCCCAGAATTCTACTGGGGGCGCCGATCCAGCCCCAACCACGTCTTCATCACGAATAATATGAATAGGCCCGTCCGTCTGGATAAAGTAACAGGAAAGTCACTCGCCGATGGGATCAAAGTATCCCGCGACCAAGAGACCGTTATTCCTGCCCATCAAACACGCCAAATTCCGGCCTATGACCAATCCGCCGACCTGAAGCTCCGTGTGCAAGGAGCACCTCACAATCAGATAGAAGTGAGCTATACCAGTGGGGACCAAGAAACGTATAATTACGCCATCAAGCCAATCGAAGGCGGCGGGTTTCCCGGAGCTGTCTTCGTGAACCCTGATCCTCCTTCATGCCCTTCTCAGAGGTGGTTCCCTAGACAACAAGAGACGCCGCAAGTTACTTGCCCGGACCGCACTCAGCTCCGGGTTTACCTGCAGGAAGCGCATCATCCAGCATTCGAAGCTGAATATGATGATGAATACGATGAGTGGTTTTAAAAAGTGCGGATAATGAATGGCAAGAACGGCAGCTCAACCTGCCGGCACCTCAAGAATTGCCAGGAGCGCCTTAAAAAAGTTATTTGGTTTTTGAGGGCAATACTCTATGTATAACTCTAGATATAACTCTAGAGTTTTGCTCAAGGAAGGTTTCTGTGTATTCTTGGTGGTTGATTTATGTAATCCGTGTCCAAGTATAGAGGGAACTTCATATTAGCTACTTTCCTCGGCTACTTTAATATACTCTCCTTAAGAATCTACCAGATGTTCACAGGAAGCAGGAGTCGCATAAGGAGGGCATTTTCGTTGCGTCACACGTGTACGCATGTTGGACCGGTTTTCTGAGGGCGTACTAAAGCCGATCGAACAGTTAAACCGGTCAAGGGCTCCGACCTATGACCAAGCCTAACACCTAGATGCTAAGACTGAATGCCCGAGTAGTCTAGCCGATTATGGACTTCATTAACCGGTTTCACTCTTAAGGACTAATACATTCTGCCGTATTATAAGTCACGAGAGGTGTATGCTATGCTACAGGGTAATTTCAATTTCTAGAAACATACGTGATAAATAGGAGACCGCAGCGAAGATAAACATGATATAGCGATATTTCTCACAATAAATGCTTAAACTCGTAAACCTTCTCTTAGCCCAATAACACCGTATAAGCCGATTCCAATACGAGAAGCACCTCTATTGCATTCGGCGAATTGGTTCGGCAGTTTGATGTGCGACCCATTTATACCAAGTAAGCATCTCCTTCTTGGCCCAGGCCATTTTCAGTTACGCGAAGCCATGAACCAGTGTACCTTCTGTCCAAATTAACACATACATGGACACATCCATCGCACCTCGGTATATTTTCAGGAGCGAGACGTTCAATAATGTCTGGGGCAAAGACACTGATTTGTCCCTTTAGAGGTAAATTGCCCTGCTTGGTTCTTTTCAGACTCACAATAAAACCACGAGCGCCCAGAAAAATAATTAGCAAGGAGACTAGAAAAGAGGATTATCGGCTGGGGTCTGTTTGATCCAATATTGCAGTTGCAAGCAGTTCTCTGTATACCCACATCCTCTTCTGCCGCAGTGAGGCCTAAAAACGGACAATAAAAGTATTGAGCTGGATTTCGTTGATCTAGCTATGCCACGGCAAATCATTGGAAGCTTAGACGAGCTGCATATCAACCGTCGGCTATGGCTTTGCAACTGGGAAAAGACTACCTGAGCGTTCGCTTGGTGGCTTGGTGAATACTAGTCTGATGACCGATTGCGCCACCGCTTCTTGAACAGTCTCCACGAACAACGGGTTGATGAACTAGACGAGTTCCCTTGCTCTGTGTTAGGCTTCTGCACCAGGAGCTCTCTCATACACGGTACAACGGTAACCACACGGGTCCCACAATATTACGGCACGGACCGGCCCTTAACCCGGCAACGATCACACAAGGATGTTAATCACAAGACCTAATTCCAGGCCTCGGTCGCCAGGAATCAGGAAGTAAGGGGTCCTCGCTGTTTTTGACCAACAAGATGTCTTTGGCAGCCCAAGATGGAGAGAAACCAAGAACCATTACTCTTAACAGAGCTGTTGAACCCCGTTGATTGCCCGTCACCTAAGCCGCCCTTCGGCCCCGGTTCCCCGCTTTTCTCCCGGTTCCCGCTCCTCTCCGTGTTCAGCGAGTTCCCGCAGCCATCGGGATGCTCGCTTTGTCTCACTGCCGATATGCTGCCTAGATCAACCCAAAGCATAAATTAATGCAGACGGTGTTACGGCGTGGTATCTGCTTCTGGTGTCGTCATCGAAGAGTCAGTTATGTCATACCCAAGCAGTGGCCTCAATGAGCTCCGGGATGAGTGAAACCAAGGCATCCAAATTAATGTAATTCAACGTCCAACGAGGATCGCAATAGCGGTGAAGCGCCAGTCTTGGCAGTTGCCACCGATGCAGAGCCCCCCGTGCGATTCTGACACCCCCCTGTTCGTGGCCTGCATCAAAAGCAAAACATGCCAGCTCTTGGCTTTTGTGATGCTTCACGGAACTTGCAGCCTGTTTCGCGCTGACACCGTTACAAAATACTAGACAATGGCATTCAGCGTTGCGAATCGCTGTGGAGAAGAATCGCATTTGGCTCGAGTGTAGTCGTCATTTACATGGGAGAGGCTTACCCCGGATACCGCCCCTGCGTTCAAGGTTGGACAGTTGTAGTCCTTCGTGATGCCGGGTGACTACGAGGTGCCATAAAATTGTCTATATATACGACCATTATTCCTCGCAAGTCATTGAGGCCTCATCGTTACAACTCCAAATCTTCAACCAGATCGTCAAGCCAACTTTTCAACATGTCTGACTACAAACCCACTGGTTGGTGAAGTGCCGCAGATGATGTTGACACTATTTAACCTCTATTTTAGAGCACAACGGCCTGAAGAAGGATGGCACCCCTGACAAAAGAGTCGGCACAGGAGGTACGTCGGCACGCATAATTCGTATACACCCCGCGTCTAACATGTCGCAGAGTTTGCGTACGGCAAGGTAGATCCTCACATCGCTGGTATGGAAGGCGCCAAGGCGGCCGCACGTGGTAGTAGCGGTTCATCAGATGGTTCATCCTCTGGGGGCGCCGGTGGTTCGGGGGGCGATTATAAGCCCACAGAGCATGGTGGTTTGCGCAAGGATGGCAAGCCTGACGGACGAGTCAAGGGAAACTAGGAGCGGTGTGGCTGGCAAGTGTTTCAAAACACTGCTTGAGCGTGCGATATGTGACAGAAGAAATGGCTCAGACAGCAAGGCAGACTGAAGAAATATATCCTTCTCAATGCAGCCATTGCTGCTGTACAACCCAGAGGCTGATGCAAGTGACAACTTCCCCTCATCTGCCCAAGGTGCCAGGCACTTTATCGCTGGGTTTCTTGGCGATCGAGGTGTTGGGCTGCCGCCGTTGAGCCAGTCACAACATTGAAGTCTCTGGTTTTTTCATGCTCCTCCCTTTGCTGTGTCCTGCCTAGGTGCGTCATTAACAGTGTAGACCAAAAATGCAATCAGCCAATTCAGGAAAGACCTCTTTGTAGGATTTCTCTCATCATGTTTCCCGCTGTGTGCCTATAAGAACCTTGCGTTTTCCTGTCACTTGCCATGCTTTCCATCCTTCAATACCATTTACTTTACCAGCAACAGCTCTACTCGAGCATCACGTAATATCATTATAATCCTATCGGTATTATTGCCTACTTCAAGATGAAGTTTGCACGAAAGGCGCCCATCTTTGCGGTGATGCTGTCGACGCAGTTACTCCATCAAGCCAAGTTGGCCTTGGCCGGCATGGCATGCTTCTCCGCCTGCTCAGTCGCCTGCTGCGAATGCGCCGGGGGTCCTGCCGCGTTTGCCGGTCCATTAGGCATTGCAGTCGGCGTCACAGGGTGCGCTGGCGTATGCATGGTCGCTTGTGCCACGCTTGTATGGGTTCCGCCGGCCTGCTTTTCCAACGACACGACCATTGCCATGTACGCACCCGACGGAACAAGGCTGGGAAAACCCATCTCTGCTGTCCGTCACGGTGATTCCGTACTCACATTGGCAGAAGGTCGGCTTGTCCCAACCCGCGTTATTCGAAATGTCCGGTCGAGTGGAAGCTTTGACTTTTTTGAGTTCGAGGTTCGGTCTCATTATACCATCACCACATTGAAGGTTACCTCTCAACATGGCATGCTCCTCGTCGACCCGCTGGGAGAGATACGCTTCGCTTTGCCCGCCGATGTCAGAATCGGAGACGAGATGCAGTCTAGCGACGGCTCCGCATGGAAGGTGTCCCGTATCGGTCATTTCGTGGGTGTTGACAAGTTCACGCTGGAGACGACAGAAGGCAGCGTGCTCGCGTCTGGTCTACTGGTATCGACCATATGCGAAGAAGAAATTAACCCCGGAACTAGGATGGACGACATCATGCCTGGATGGAAGGCCAAACATCAGTATGCTGTTCGTTCATATTGAAGTGAGACACCTGGCGAAGTTGGCGGGGCGCTTGTTTGGGGATTGGAGCGAGTCGAACCAGAGAGGTTTACCAAGGCCGTGGATGTTGGACACGACAGAGATTCACCGTAGTGATATGATGGACCGAGTAAAGGCGAGGACAAAATAGGCGAGCGGTAAGGGCTATGAAGGGCATGGGCCCGGTTCAACAGAGCGAACCCTCTCATAGGACTTTGAGATTGTCAATCGTTGGCATGGTTTCACTCCTTACTGGAGGTTGGAGAGGATCTCTGCATGCTAATTCACATTAAAATTGTTGATGGGTGAGTCATTTCTAGATACCACGAGATACAAAACGTGCTGCAAAATTATGACTGCCAAATATCACACCATGAGAAGCATTTTCGACGTCCGGAGCATATGATGGGCACCTGGGCCTCTGTTGGTCATGATTGTCCGAACGCAAGAGTCTGGTGGATGACCAGATTTGACGGTCAGATCCTGCTTTCGCACTCTTTCTGGCTCCCAATCCTAGAAGTAGGCTCAATACATTGGGCCACCTGGATCGGTTCTAGGGGATACGCCTAGTCCAAGGCTTTACCCTGGGATCGTGGCATCGACGCGATTGTTCGTCCTCGGCTATTATCGGGGCCCGTCTATATATGTTGTCGAGGTGCTCGTGGCTGGCAACTTTCAAGCAATCGGCAACGTCTCCGACTCTCCGTGTCTTCAATCAATACAACATGCCAGGCCTGCTGCGTCATACCCCCGCTTGATCTTCGCGGTGCTTCCCCAGCGTCAACGATTGATCACATCTCAGGGTCCAAATTCCGATACACTACATATGTATAGGCTAAAACCAGGTCAGCCACAACAGCGCAATGGAACTGCGTGGAACTGCTTCCTCCCTGGGCGTCTACCTAACAAAAAAACGTACAGTGCCCGTTCGATAGTTACGTGGCTATGGGTAGTATTGTGGTCTACATCACTGACCTTGTTACCTTGTACTTATACTTTGGGCTGCTTTTCCTGTCTTTGTGAAACCCCAGCAGCCTCAAATGGCTCTCCTCGACGGGCTTCTTGCCTCTCCGCCTTATCTTAACCGTGGTCTTGGGGTGAAAGTCCAGAACGCCAATAGACAAGCAAACGACTGACCAGCCAGCGAATCCTAGTTGACATTCCGGACATGACCAACCACCCTGACCAGAAACTCTGGGGCAGCATGATGCAATACTTCGCCGATATAGGCTTGGAAGCGCAGTCTCGTGGTGCCACAAGAGTAACCGAAGCGGCGTTTAGCGGCTCAAGCAACACAACAGTAGAGACTGATGGCTTCACAAGCAGTCAAGTCTCGGGGCGGTAAATGAGCCGTCCATCGATGGTCACTGCTCAATACAGGATGTGGTACGAATCAACCCATATACGTCAACGCCACGGCAAACCATACCATAGACTCACAAGACAATGCCGGCCTGGCGGGGTTTGGGAGTGGCCGCTACATCATGTTCTTCTGAAGCCTCAACTGGCGTCAAAGTAAATGACGGGGAGATTTTCCAGTTGTAGTTTAATGGGAATTAATACGCTGTGCACCGTCAACTTGGCCGGGCTAATGCGAAAATGCTTTCCAAGTCCGATAACTCAGATATCTTAAGCGGACACTTCATGTCTCTGTACTCCGTAACAAGGGTAACATTTACCACGGACGAATATAAGCTGATAGCTAGCGTGACAAATCGGTTATAATCTGGGTACGTTTTCCATCAAATATACTCATGGTGCAAGCGCGGAGAGTAGTAGTCAAGAAGCTATCACCGGGTTAGCAAACGACTTGAGCCTCAGTCTCTTGAGATGCCTTTACAATGTGTATATTACCGCCTTACCATAAAGTGAAAATAAAACAGTACAGTGGTCACCAAAGCGTTTAAATGACTGCTAGCTCTTTTGAAAAGCTAGTTGTTACGTTCATTTGTCTTAAATTTAAATCAAGTTGCTGCGCTGGGCAGTTTAATGCTAGTACAGCATCGAGTACACTATGTCTAGAGCCAGCTACTTCATAAAAAGCCGCAACGTAACAAACCTATAAGAGTAATCTCAACCTATAATAAGCTAGATGAAAGATTCCGTTAACATTAAATCTAGATATGTCATGTAGGCATTGAAAAGTGCCATGTAGATTCTCCCCATCTTGTTGCTCGGTCCCCCACACTTTCCGCGTCATTTCTCATACTTGGTTCGCCGTTTCCATATTCTCCCAAGTACCTCTGCGTTCAATTCCTGCAAAAGCAATGAGCGCTCACCTATGCAGGGCATCTAATATGCCTAGGTTGCCTAGCCCGTGGTCAAGGTCCAACGTCCATCCACCGGCTCAAAAGTCGCCCTAACACCTTCCGCAGCTTTCTTCAGATCCGACTCAGTTTGTTTGTCAGTCAAGTTCGGCAGTGTAATTTTTTGAAACAAGTAGGGCAGAATAGACGATTTCCAGTCTCCCTTCCACGGGCTGCGGTGGCTGATTATGACGATGATAACGAGGAAGAGGGATTCTGCGATAACCAAGATTGCTAGAAAAAAGAGGAAGCCCCAGCTAACTTTTATGCAAGGCTCTGTTAGATGTGTATGGCCCTCTACATATTCGATGCCGAGAGTTTCTGGGTTCCTTCGCCAATTTGCGCCTATGGATGTCGCAAGACCCTTGGCAAATGCGTCGACTGTAGAAAAATCCATCCGCCCCCAGTCCCAGAGCTTCTGTATCCAGGCCTCTCCGAAAAGTGATAGGCGATATGGTAAAAGCACCGTTGCCTTGCTGAACAAGTTGTCGGCGAATGCCCTCATTGTATATACCTCGTCATCGCCAACCTGAAAGGTGCATTCTGGGCGGTAATAAAGAGGGTCCTCACGATAAGTGGAATTCTCGTGAAGGTATTCCGTATAGCTCTTATATGAGAATATGTCAGTCGTGTGCGTCTCTGTTTTGCTCTTAGATGCGTTACAGTCGATCCAGTTGCCATTATAGAATGTCCGATTCACCCCAAGTTGGAAGTACTTGAGGACATTGAAACCAACAACAGGATTTACCGAGGGATGTAGAAATTGTCTCCTAGATATGACTTCATGTTCTGCATATACATGATTTGTCATATTGGCCATATAGGTCCGGACACAAGGCGTGAGGCTACATTCAAAGGCTATACCTGCATGTGTCGTTCCCTTCCCATCATCTCTACAGTCATCTGACCCATTGCATTTCACAGCCAATATCTGAAAATCAAACAGGCTAGTCCTCGGCTTTTCGGGACCCGTTATATTTTTAGAGGTTGTCATATTGACCAAATGCATCCCGTACCAGTCAGAGTAGTTTGTTCTTATCATCGATCCGTAGCCAGGCAAGAGCCATGTATTGTGTTCAAGCTTCATCACCTGATTAGAAATGTCCGAACAAGAATGGCACATGTCGAGTGTGGTAAATGGAACAGGGAATGTGCAGTTTCCCGTGGAGCAAGTAACATCGGTGCTAACAGAGCTGTTTGCCGGTGGTGAATAGACGCCTGCGAGTATGGCAAATTGCATATCAGTCGAAAGATAGCGCGCTTTATGCCTAAGTTGGCCTGCTGTTGTATCTCTTGCATGGTTTACGCGAGGAATATACGCCGAATTCGGAAGAGTTCGTACACACGTAGTAATCGAGACGGATGCTTGAGAAAAAGAATCGATTGCCAGGGAGAGAATGGCGAGAGCGGCACCAAAACTAGCGACAAGTCTATTCCAACTCGTTACTCAGGATTTTCGTGTATTATCATGAGAGTTTCAGTAAAAGAGAGACTTACGACACGCTTCGTCCACGGAACTGGTTAAAGATAAGTATGGCGGAGCCCCACGCACCATGGCTCGCCTTGTCGTACTTATCCAGGTCAGCCAGACTTCGATCCCGTTTCGAGAACAGAAGCCACTTTATGTGACCCAATCCTGTGTCTTGCAAATCAGAATCACGTCCTTTAAAGGCCAGCGATTAACCATACGCACCGCTCGAAATAGGCACAGCCAGCACTCCCTTGAAAAGGGCGGTTAGAATTGCCACAACAGTGTTGATAGAGATAGGAGCCCTCCATTCAGAAAGAGCTTTGTTCTCGTAGATGCGCAGAAGGATGAAAATAGCTGCAATGACGGCGCCGCCAAGGATAATAGAGAAGATTTCCCATTTCCAAAGCGACCACGCCGACCGGGTGTGTATAGTAGACTTTCCATCACGCGCAGCCGCGTCTGATTTGTTTGATTCTTCGACCGGCATTTCCGCAGATGAGGACTCTGTCTTTGCCTCTCCGTCCGCATCTGTGAATCCGTGCAGGTCTACCTGAGAATCGAGCTTTGTATAGATTCCCGCCATTGTGTTGCAGTTTGCCGCGAAAGAGGGGGCGTCTTTTTCAAGACATACGGCAAGTAACGTATCTAGATAGATAGGTAGCGTCTTATTTAGAGGTAGTATGCCGGGACTGGAGCGCTTTAGAGAGACAGCATGTCCATCTAGCCGATAAAATAAAGCACTTTGAGAGCGAAGTAGAAAGCCAGACAGACAGCCTCACCTCTTCGTATAAATTCGACGGGAAGGGAGGGGACCCGAGGCAGCCCAAGCCACAAGAGATAATGGCCCAGACGGGCCGGGCCGGGTCTGTAACACAAAGTGAGGTTGTTCAGCTTTTGTAGCACCCATGGGCAATGCTCGTCGAGTCATCAGCCGCTCCATCTGCTATTGTCTCTCTTGGTTCGAAGAACAGAGACAAGGGGCGCATCCATTGCTCCACACACCATGCAGGAATGCCGGTATTGACCTCCTATGGTAGAAATCCATAAATATCTCTGTAGTCCCACGACGGTGCTGCGCCTTGTGATGCCGTTGCTGAAATTGCTTTCGACAAAGCAGTCAACATGGCTGGGCGCACAAGAGCCCATTGCCCTGTGCCCAAAATAGCACTGCATACCAGATACAGCTGTCAGTACCACGGTGCTCCTTTTTGGCTCTTTGCCTCGATAAAGCTACTAAAGATGTGGTCGTGACGTTTCGGATGACCTGGATGCTGGTTCGGAACACCTAGCTCTTCTTGTCGTCTATATGCTGCCCAATGCTGTTGTTCCCTGATAGAGGACGTGGAAGAGTCAACTTGACTCGGAAAAGACTACCAGCGCAGAGCACCAGTGGCAGATGGGTTTCGGGTGGTGGCTTCGAATGTTGTGAATCATGCATGAGAAGTTGTCCGGTGAGAGTAAGCCTGCAGGAGTGCTGCGCTGCCGCGTTGGTGGTTGTGTGGTCATGGTGCGTATGTGGTTGGGGGGAAATAAACGAGTTGACCTGTCAAGTACGATTTGTTAGAGGACATGGAAGAGGAAACAGGTTCTAGACTAGACGTAAGCTGTCTGGTTTATTATTTTCTTTCGCCTATCATTTTATATCAATATCCTAGCACTTGAGCCAAGCTAAACCTGGCTAGGGGTGCAAAAGCAGCAAGGGCACCAGACCAAATCCAATCAGTTCACGTGGAAGCAGGAGGCGGGGCTTGCCCTGAGCTTGGAGGCTCTGTGTGTGAGGGAGGAGTTTGGTTTGTCACACTGGCACAAAGCTGAGTGCTTACTAAGAAAGTCTGAGGCAACTGCAGAGCCCCAACTTGCCAGCCAGCTACACTCGCTGTACTGTCAAATGTACCGGCGACCCATCCAGTCCGCCTATCAATCAACCATCAGTGCCTGCCTGCTCACTGGTTGGTGCCTGGCCTGCAGGTGGTCAACTGGTGCCTGGTACCTGGTACCTGGTCCGTTTTGGTGCCGAAGCATAGCACGTCACCGAGGGAAAACCGCGAGCTGTTAACATTTGAACCTCGTCCACCGAGTAGAACTGGCCGTAGCCATCTCGCTGCATCCCGGTTCAATAGTCACCGGTACTTCCGGTGACCTTGCTGCAGCCTGCCACCCTTGCTCAAAAAACCGCCGACTCGCCGAGGCTGCCACGGAACATCTCCGCCTATCGTGAGTTGTGACTCGTCAGCCCGCGTCCAATTCACCGAGCATATATAAGACGAGGAGCAAGTGCAAGCTTTGATTTGACAACCTACAAACAGATTACATCTACCCAACGTTCCCATTCATTTGCCATGACAAAGTCGCTCATTCGGACGGCCTCCCTGGCTGTCCTTGGCCCGCTAGCCTTGTACACAGTTTTTTGGAGCTTGGCCGTGATACCATTCTTCCAGCGACAGTACGTGGCTTCATTTCATGAACCATGAAACGTCTCGGCTCTGGCTAACTTGCCCGCTAGCTTCTTATACGCGCACAAGTTCAACACCCTATTCTGGTCTGACGTGAACGAGCCAGAGAGATGGGGGTTCGCAAGTTGGTCTCGCCAATGGACATGACACCTCGAACAAGCGTAGTTGACGACTTTGAGCAGAGCATCAAGTGGCACCCTTTTACTTGAAAACGCCCGACGACAACAATCTCTACGCGTGGCACATATTGCCTCTCCCTCTGTATCATAAGCATGAAGACCAAATCGTGCAAGGAGCGTCATCGGAGACGGTCCCCCTTGACATTACCAGCACAGAATCGTTCCGATTACTGAAGTCGGACCCGAAGTCCAAATTGATTCTGTATTGTAAGTACTTTCTGCTGTGTTTCAGTTTACGCGCATTTGTCCTGACATGTCAATAGTTCATGGAGTTTGTTCCCCGTTGCCGAGGCTTGGCCCCGAATTACTCGACCGTGCTAACGGATTCCTGTCCTAGAATGCCGGCCATATCGCTCAGATGTTCAGAGCAGACAGCTACCATTCACTAACAGACACGTCATCCTATCACGTAGTTGCCATTGACTACCGTGGCTACGGCCATTCCACAGGCGTCCCCAGCGAGGAGGGCCTCATCCAGGACGCGGAGACACTTGTCAATTGGGCCATGAATGTGGCTGGCATTCCGTCTCATAGAATCGTCCTGTTTGGTCACAGTCTCGGGACGGCGGTGGCAAGCGGTGCAGCCGAGCGATTTGCCCGCCAGGGCGTTGATTTCGCCGGCCTCGTTCTTGTTGCTGGATTCAGCGACCTCGCCAATTTGCTGACGGGGTATCGCATTAGCGGCGTGTTCCCCGTCGTGGGACCGCTCGCAGCCTGGCCCTCTGCCGTCAAGTATCTGCAGACGTACGTTGTGGACAAGTGGCATTCCGCGGACCGACTTGCCAGCATCGTGCGCAACACCAAGAAGAGGCTGCGCCTTGAGCTGATCCATGCCTACAGCGACTGGGACATCCCGTGGCAGCATGAGGAGATTCTGTTCCAGGCAGCAGCCAATGCAACGACCAACGGCCTCAACCAAACCGAGTTTGACCAGTTCAAAGAGAAGCACATGAAGCTCAGCCCCGGAGGCGACGGCTTTTCAGTGACTGTAAAATCTAACCCAGATACCATAATCAGGCAGCAGTTGGTTCTTCACGGAGGTAAGTGATTGAGCTTTGGGGTGACTGTACCGGGAGGCTGACATGGGCCTAGGCCATAACGAAATCGTAGCTTCTTCATCCGTGCTGAGGGCCGTAATGAGGTGTTTTGACGAGGAGTAATGGAATAGAAGACTATGTACTATATACTGTAGGAGGCATCAGCCTACAAAACCATGTAGCTGGACCCGCAATCATTCGCAGCTGTTCAGATGCCATTTGATGCTTTGGCTTGTGTGCAACCTCCCAGAGGAGAAGTACAGCATCTGCCTGTCCTCCGTACATACATACACAGCTGCAAAGCGTCAGCTTACGGATGCAGCCAAGTGGATAATATCATAATATCCCTGTCGCAACTCGCAAGCATATTGTAAACGTGTTATTTAGCGAGGGCGGCATCGTAGCGACCAAGCCTGGTGACAAAGAGAACAAAGGCTTGAGGGACATGGGCATGGAGGAGGAGCGGACTTGACAATGGCGCAACCCCGCAACCGCCGACATCGATGTCAATTGTTGAACTGAGACGTGCAAAACCCCCCACCATCCCACCATCTAACCCCAGGCCACCAAAAAAGAGCTCCGGCTCGTCTCAACGTTTCAGCTCAGCACCATCACCAGTGGCACACGTGCAAAGGCGCACCGCTCCCATCATGCCGCCCGAAGAGTCCAAGATGGCCGAGCCCATTGTCGACAAGGGCAAACAAGTCGACCAGGGCGAATCCGAGTCCGAAGATGACGAGCCTGCCGCCACCACCACGACCGCCGACACGCCGACAGGGACGTCAACCGGTAGCAAGAAGAAGAAGTCGAAGCGCAAGAAGGCCAAGCAGCTCCTGACGGGCAAATCCGACGAGCAGAAGCAGGCCGACGAGGTGACAAAGGCCATAGGGGGCTTGACGCCTCAGCAAATGAAGGAGCTGGTGTCCCTCAACCCGGGGCTCATGCAAGAGCTTGCGGCTGCGTCTGGAAGCTCGAACCCGTCCCCCGACCAAGTCGCCAATATGCTCAAGAACATGAACCTCGCCGACATCATGACTGGTCTGGCGGCCAGCGGCAAGAATGCCAAGGACATGGGTGCGTACAAGTTCTGGCAGACGCAGCCCGTGCCCAAGTTTGGCGAGGAGGGAGCCAAGGTGGAGGACGGCCCATTGAAGATGCAAAAGGTCGAGGATATCGACAAGGAGCCACAACCTCTGGTGGCCGGGTTCGAGTGGGTGACGGTGGACTTGATGGATGACGGAGAAATAAAGGAGGTGTATGAGCTGTTGAACGGACACTACGTTGAGGACGACGAGGCCATGTTCCGCTTCAACTATATCCCCGAAGTGCTCAGATGGTACGTTTTTCCCAGATGTGCCCCCGAAAAAAAAAAAAAAAAGGTCAAAGGTCAAGAGATTTCTACGGATTTGTCTAACAAGGGACTCAGGGCCATGATGGCGCCAGGCTGGCAGCGCAAATACCACATTGGTGTGCGAGCATCGCAGTCCCGCAAGCTGGTGGCCTTCATCTCCGCCATCCCCGTGCAAATTCGCGTGCGCGACAAGACCTTTACGTCGTCCGAGGTCAACTTCCTCTGCGTGCACAAGAAGCTCCGCGGCAAGCGCCTCGCGCCGGTGCTCATCAAGGAGGTCACCCGCATCAGCAACCTCGACGGCGTCTGGCAGGGCCTGTACACCGCGGGCGTCGTGCTGCCCCGGCCCGTGAGCACATCCCGGTACTACCACCGCGCGCTGAACTGGAAAAAGCTGCACGCGTGCGGGTTCAGCCCCCTTCCCGCGGGCAGCAAGCCGGAATACCAGGTGCGCAAGTACGCGCTGCCGGAAACCACCGCCACAAAGGGCCTGCGCGAAATGCAAGACAAGGACGTGGATGCCGTCGTGGGCCTGCTGAAGAGATACCTGGGGCGGTACGACATGGCGCCAGAGTTTGCCGCGGAAGAAGCCCGCCACTGGTTCCTGCCCAAGAAGGACTCGAAGCAGGTGATTTGGTCCTATGTGGTCGAGGTACGTGACAGTTCCCCCCCAAGGCCGTGCTAAGCACCTACAGCAGCTCAAGTCTAACCATGCGAAACCTAGGACAATGGCAAAATCACCGACTTCTTCTCCTTCTTCTGCGTCGAATCCTCCATCATCAAGAACAACGACGTCCTCCGCGTCGCCTACCTCTTCTACTACGCTAGCGAGGCCGGCCTCAGCGAGCCGTTTGACAAGCCGGCGCTGAAGACTCGTCTCAACGCGCTCATCAACGACGCCCTGATCCTCGCCAAGAGGGCCAAGCTGGATGTGTTCAACGCGCTGTCGCTCATGGACAACGCGCTGTTCCTGGAGCAGCAAAAGTTTGGCGCCGGCGACGGGCAGCTCCATTACTACCTGTTCAACTATCGGGCCAGCCCGATTTCCGGCGGGGTCAATGCCAAGAATCAGCTGGACGAGGATCATTTGAGTGGTATTGGGCTGGTGATGCCGTAAGAGTGGGAGTGCCAGTAGCAGTAGATGATGTGTGACGGTAGCCAAAGAAAGCATTGCCATTCACGAGCATAGGGGCCCGGAACCGTGTTTCGTAGTTGTGAAGCGGTCCATGGATGAAGTTGGGATGCCTCGTGCGCTATGATAGTCTGGCAAAATACAAAGTTGCATGCCGTTCTAGATAACGGCAGCTGATGATTCAAGCCATGCTGTTTTTTACAAGCATCCGCTTCCACTGTAGCGCCAAGTCGGATGCATACTTGCATGCTGTATCCGCAGTCGGTGCGCACAAAATGGACTTGGGTTGGGCGCTGGAACATCTGAAGTCGAATCGTGGGTTAGGTGTAATGAGACATGGAGACATATTCAAAATACGTACCAGCTTCAAGACAGTACCCCCGTATAGGGTAAGCGCCAGGTGCCTGAACGGCCCCAAGACGGATGAGGCGTCTGGGGTTCACACCAACAACCAACATGTCACCAAAAACTCCGTCGGGGCAAAAACAACAATCCGCTCCGGTCGCGTGCGCACCAAGACGAGATGAGCCCGAACTTGCCATCGCGGGCAAAGCAGCCTCACATCATCCATGAGAGCTCCTTGACAACGTAGAAACGAGTCTCGACTGGAGCCAACAAAGTCTTGTTTTCCCCCGCACCCCGCCGCCTCGTCGCCAAAAAAGAGAGAGCATCCCTCAACTCCAAACCTCGGCATCGTCACTGCACCACCAAGACGCAGGATTCCCTGAAGAAAGAATGTCGGAACCGTACGTACCATATCCCTCTGCCTGCTTTAATAAAATAAACCAGAGCTAACAAAACCCTCCACGTGTGACAGAACATACAACTTCCCCTCGGTGGAGGAAACCACCAACCACCCAGCATACAAAGGCACCATCTGGAAGCTCAAGCCTCACTCATCCGGCCACCTGCCCGTGGCCAAGGGGCGCGGCGGCCCCCTAAACATCTACTGGGAAGTGCACGGCACCGGCCCAACCAAGCTCATTGCAAGTCTTGCCCCCCCTGTGCCGTCCCAAGACGCCATCTAACCGGACAACAAGCTCATCATGGGCCTCGCCGGCACGCTCACCTCGTGGCAGATCCAGACGCACCACTTCGGCCACGTCCACGGCGCCCAGAACTCGGTGCTCGTCCTCGACAACCGCGGCGTCGGGCGGTCCGACAAGCCGCTGGGGCGGTACACGACGAGCGGCATGGCGGCCGACGTGCTCGAGGTCGCCGACCACGTCGGGTGGACGCAGCCGCGGCAGCTCAACGTCGTGGGCATCTCGCTGGGCGGCATGGTCGCGCAGGAGCTGGCGTGCCTGGCGCCCTCGCGCGTGCGCTCCCTCTCGCTCCTGAGCACCAGCGCCCGCGTCGACAGCGGCAAGACGCTGCCCCAGGCGGCGCTCGACCGCCTCGCCCTCCTGCGGCCCAAGACGGACGCCCAGGCCATCCGCGACACCGCCCTCGCCGTCTTCCCGCCCGCCTTCCTGCTCGCCCCGGACGAGGTGCCGCTGCCCTCGCCCGGCGCCGAGCCCATGTGCGCGCCTGCCGACACCCCCGACGGCGAGTACCCGCGCTTCGGGTCGAATTTTCAGCGCTTCCAGGCGCAGGAGCTGCACAAGCGCCGCGCCCCGGGGGCTTTTACACTCGTCGGCTTCCTGGGCCAGCTGCTCGCCGCCGCGGGGCACAGCAAGTCGCCTGCCCAGCTGCGCGGCATGGCCGACGGCGTGGGCAGGGACCGCATCCTGGTGATGCACGGGACGGGGGACAAGATGCTCGTCGTCAGGAACGGCGAGCGCCTGATGCGCCTGGTTGAGCCGGGCGTGGCGATGCTGGTCGACGACTTGGGCCATGCGCCCATCTTCGAGAGGAGCGTGTGGTTCAACGGCCTCTTGGACGAGAGACTGCACGCTTGGTCTAAGCTGTGATGGCGGGTTCATGACATGTGCGTGCCGTCTGATGACTTTTTTATTTTCCTGTAGAAGCGGTTGGTGTAGATTTGGATATTGGCTTTTCTTTTCATGCGCTGGCGTACAACTATATATGATACATGTTCGACATTTGGTCAGGGGGCAAAGGGAAGGGAAGAGTAGACTTGCGCTTGACACTTGCGGGAATCTTTAGCCGACATAGTCCCTCCGTCAATGTATATATATCATATACACATCTTAGAAACGAAACTCACTAGTCCCCGCAAAAGCCTACGCAGCATTGGTATAACTGCTTTACTCGCGAGCCCATGTGCAAGCCATCTACAGTCACACAAGCACAAAAATCAGTCCGCATAGCCTAGCCGGTTACAGCACATCGCCGCACAGCATCTTTGAGTCTATCTTTTTTAATAACATGTCTTGCATACGCTCCCTCGTCCCGCCCAGTAGCTCTATAGCGTTACTGACACCATCACACCCACTGCATGACTTCACTCCCGAGACTGTTTCCCGCGCGGATTCACCAGTCTTTACCTCTCTCCAGCCAATCGTCGGGCCTGGACCTCCCCAAGAGCCTTGGTGCCGCTCAAAAACGCAACAACCGCCACGACACCCATGACCGGCAGTGTCTGGAACAAATTCCACGCGCTATAGTACAAAAAGAAGACTCCCTCCATGGCGATGATGGATCCGAAAAAGAGGGCGTGCGAGAGCGGCGCATTGCCAATGGCCTTGGAGGCGTGGCCAAAGTTGCCGCCAAGGCCAATCCACTACGACAGTTAGCACGTAACGACCCAGGGCCAAGAAGAAAAAAGAGACACACCCCAATAAACAGAGCGGGCACCGTGGCCAGGACAGCAAGCGAAAACACGAGCGACACAATCCTGGGCGGGTTCTTGGGGTCCGCGCGGAAGATGTGATGGATCTCGGCGAGCTTGCCGTACCGCAGGGGAGCGTCGGGGCTGGGCGTAGGATGGCCGGGGTCCAACTTGACGGCGATGTCGAAGACGGGCGTCACGGAGCCCTTTGTCGACCCGGTCGAGCCAAGGACGAGGCTGGCTTCGAGGGGGGCGGCCGCGGTGAGGAGCTGCGCGGGGAGGTCCTTGTGGCTCTGTGGGAAAAGTCAGCATCCTGCGAAACATCTTGCATCGGCACGACTCTGCAAGCCCGACATACGATTTGAACCACGCCCTTGCCCGACTCCTTGACGGTCAGGGCAAACGGCGCCTCCAGCCCGGAAGCTTCCCTGAGAACCAGGAACGCCTGGTGCGGTCTCTTGGCCTTGGATCCCTCCTTGGTAGTCAGTGCTACTTTGAGGGTGTCTTGGTGTCCGAAGCTGACTGTCCTCCTGACCCGGTCGGTGTCAGAGAATCTGCAAGAGAGAAGCAATCGTCAGTCGTGCGCAATGGAACAGGGCGCCTGTCGCTGCCGCCCGCAGTGGAGGCCGTGTAAAGGGAAAAGCTTACGTCTCAACCGTCTTGTCAGACGTCTTGGAACCCACGGAAACAGAGGCATCTGAGAAGGTCCAGTAAGTGGCGTGAGCTGCGCCGGCAAGGGCCAGTGCCGTCGAGGCTATAGAGAAGCGCATTGTGTTGGGTGCCGGGTGGTTGGTTTGTCAATGGCAAGCTTCAAAAGGAACAGCTGGTATGAAGTCGCGGGATGAGGTATACGTGGTTGGAGGTGGGGCCGTGCGAAGACAGTGCGAATTGGCCAAGACCACGTTGGCTTCGCGCAGACGACGCAGCATAGAGTTCAAGGTACGGAGTAAAGCTTGAAACTACCACCCACGACTAGACTTTGCATACAAATCCCATGACGACAATCCTAGTCGGCGAGGAGATGGAACCATTGGCTGTCAGCAATGCATGTGCCGAATGCGATCCCGCGTATCTACACGCCTGGGTGCTTTATACGCTTAGCATTGCTCAACATAGAAAAGTGATACATGACCCTGATGCCAATAAAATATTGACCAAGGGGTAGGCAAAGCGGAGAGAACACATTGGCCGGCATTTCGTCCCTTCGGGGACCCTGCCGAAAGCCATCTCCGGCATCATCAAGAGCCACCATCAAACATGAATGCAATTCTGTCAGCACAGATCCAGTACTATGCACTAAACCCGCCATCTAGATCTACGTGATACAGTGAAACGCTCAAAGACAGGCGCATCATTGAAAGCCCACAAACCCCCCAACGCCAAAAAAACCCCAAGCCGCAACTCCTCACAACTCAGTCCTCTTGCTATGAACACTCTGCGTAGCACTCGTCTTGTCGGCGCTCGTCGCAGCCGTCTTGTCCAACAGCCCACCCAGCTCCATAAACTCCACCACAAAGGCCGTGACTATCCTCGCCCAGTCCCGCGTCGTCGGCAGGTCCAAGTGGTCGCCGTCGTCGTCAATCGTGTGCCACACGGCCGGGAATGAGCCCGGGATGATGTGCAGCACATCCACGCCGCGCTGCATAAAGGGGACGTGGTCGTCCTCGATGTAGCTGCTGTAGAACTCGTGCGGCTGCTTGTCCGCGTTGTAGAGGAAGGGCTTGGCGGGCTTGGACTCGAGCAGGCCGAGGGTGCGCATGCGGCCCTCGAGCGCCGCCATGCTCTGGTACGTCCAGTGCGTGGGGAGAAAGTACGAGGGGATCCTGGGGTCCGGCGAGCCGAGGAGGTCGAGCAGAACAAAGAGGGATATGCTCTCCAGCGGGGTGCGAAAGGTCGACAGCGCCGGGTGGAACGTCTCGTCCCATTCCTGGGCCAGCGATCTGCAGGGCACGAAGCAGTCAGTATTGGAGGAGTGTTTGACACCACCGATTCATCAGGTCCACGTACCTCGCTCCGTACAGCGAGTCCGTAGCGGACCACTGCTTGAAGGCCTCCTCCCCGTCTAGGAAGAGTATCTGGACGCCCTGCCGCTCCTCCAGCCCGCCGCTGCTGCCGTCGTCGTGCTCCCACTTCTTGGTCAGCGCGGCGTCGATGCTCCTCGCCACGTGCATCAGCATGGCACACGGCGCGGCGGAATCAATGGCGCCCACGAAGCCCTCGGGCTTGATGAGCGTGTCGAAGTGCGCCACGAGGGTCAACCGCGACACATCGCCGGGATGCGAGCCGGGAGGATCTCGGCTGAATATCAAATTGGAAAACGGCACCTCTTTTGTGCCGCTGAGAGGTGTCTTAGATGTCGAGTTCTGCCATGCGAGCTCCCACGATGGCAGCGAGGACTTGAAGAAGTCGACGAAATGCTTCTGGGTCTTGTAGTTGCCCTCTGTGCCGGGCACGCGGGGGATCAATATGGGCGCCAGGAGCTTGCCCTTGTGTATGTCGAAGTCGTCTCCAGGGGAGGGGATGCTGCGCAAGTCGTCGTCAGTGAGGGCCGCGAGGGCCGCGGCAGGGGATGCGCCGAGCACCGCAAGAAGGATGCCGACGAGCATGGTAATTAATGGCGGCATGAGGGTACCATTTCGGAGACTGTTGGGCGGTGTTGGGAACGGGTGGTGGTGGACGCAAGTCCGTGAAGTCGTAATGGCAAGTCGGCTGCAGTCGGTGTTTCGAGGTGTTGTTCAGTCTTGACACTTGTCACGCCAAAAGATGAACCTCGACTTACATACACCACATCTCCACTTTTACCCTGGCAGCCCGTCTTGCGATTCAAATCCATAAAAAGGGCACTTGGCTAAAGAGGGAAAATAGCCAAAACTGCATCAAGCATTTTAGTATATAAATCGACAGGAGGCGTTTTGCCCAAGTAATGTATTTAATCCTTGGTTTAATCTTCTTCTTCTCCTCAGCAGTACTCGTCTAGCGCCGAGGCACGCAGCACCCTGCGGCCTCACAACCCCAGGATTCTCCTTCAGCCATTGCCGAATAAACATCCCCTATACTCAGTATACATCCATTGAAATATCACCATCCTCGCAAATTGGCAATCGAGACACAAAGCGCAAATGTAATTTACACAGCCATGTTTGACCCAACCATCATGTCATGCCAGGGAGAACAAAGCCCACAATCATCAATTGATCATCTAGAATACATACAAAGGAAAACATTAAGCCTTGCAATACCACAACGTACACCTACTCAAGTATGCATATTCGCTCCGTCGGCTTTTTTTTTCAAAAACAACCCCAACAACAAAACGCTGTCTCCAGATAAAACTTGAACCCGACGTTAACACTACGGCAATAAACAAACAAACGTCGATCAATATGTAATGATTCCCTGGTATAAAAACAAGTTCCTGTGCTCCGAAGCCCGGCCGTCTCCCAATGTAGTACATGTAACCATGCTGATGAGTTTACTTTCTCTTCCCCCCACGTCTGCCCCTCTTCTTGTTCTGAAGGTTCTAATCCATCTCGACGTCTCCGTTGGGCGGCGCGACCCCGTCGTCCATCCATTTGCGGAAGTTCTTATTTTGTTCCTGAACCTCCTCGGGGCCCATGTCCTTTGTCCACGATGGGTTGTGAACCATTTTCTCCAGGAGCTTGCTTTCGCGGTGCATGCTGAGGGCCTTGGTGAACTTTTCCCGCCGCTCGCGCTCCTCCTGTGTCCGGGGCGACCGGTCGTAGATGAAGTATTCCGAGGTCCCCGGGCCCCAGACCATCTTGGAGCTCTTAAGGCAGATGCTGGTTGTCAAATTCTCGCTGTATGAGAGTGGCTTAGGTACTTCATCTGAATCTGAGTCGGCATCGCCAGAGGGCAGGTTTCGCGTAAGAACAACTTTTTGCAGCCTGGATCGGGGGATGCCCTCTGTGGGCTCAACTCGAATAAACGACGAGATGTAGTACTGCCAGCGCTCTCGGACCTGCATCTCGTCCATGTAGAACGTGGTCTCGTCGCGCTGCAGCCACCGCACCGTGGCTTCGGCTTTCTGTGGGAACTGAAATCTGCGTGTTAGCAAATGAAAATCCCCGCATTGAACTTGGACTTGGCAACAGATCGCCAACTTACCCAGCAAATAACAAAAATGTCGCCGTCCTTAACACACTTCTCTGCAAACTTGCGTGCCGAGATTTCCGTTTGGTAACTCGTCTCCTCCTTCTCCCGGCTAGTCAGATACTGATGGATAAGATCCGGCGTCTTCTCCTTGGCATCGGTGCTGCTGCAAGTCAGGGCCAGTCGGCACAGTGTCTTCAGGAGATCCTGAATAGTGTACAATTTCCATCCATTCTGAAGGTAGTAGTGGCGCAAGACGTCTTGGTAACGGTTCTCGTCAACGTCACCAGTAATGTACTCCTCAATCAACTCTACAGTCTTGGGCCAGTACGTCTCAGGGTCATCGGTCGGCTCAAAGAAGGTCATGTGATTCTCTGTGAAGCCAATATCTCTGGCTGGCTTGGGCCTGTTGAGGCGCTCGACTGCTTGGGCAACAAGCTCTTGGCTCTGCTGAATATCCAACAAGCGGTTGTAAAGGGTCTGGAAAATGTTGAAGAAGACAAAAATGGTCTGGTTACAGAAGAAGTTGTACCAGGGACGGGTAAAGAAGCCGTCCGCCTTCAGCTCGCCGCCCTCGTCAAGCAGAGCATTATCTCCGCCTACAACAACAGGTTTGGGAACGGTTGGCATCCAGCGCTCGTTCGAGACCTCTGGCACCGCAGCTTCCTCTGGTGCATCAGCCATCTCCTCTTCATTAGCCGAGGTGACGTCGGGGGTGGTCTCCTTGCTACCAGAAGCGGCACTGTCTTCCTTTTGACTCCTGGGCTTGCTACCGTTGCGCCCGGGGTCCAAAACTCCCCTAAGCAGGTCCCCCTTTCTGCCGTTCCGGCGGCTTCGCCCGTTGGTCAGTTCAGCAGGCGTAGAATCCTCGACATCGTCTTCGCCGGAATCAGGCTGCATCTTGGGAAGCTTGTCCTGATACATCTCCTCGGGAAGATCAAAAAAGGCTGGAACGAATGTCTCAAAAAAGTCCAAAATTCTCTCCTTTTCTTGTGTGCTGTGCTGTCCATTGTGCATGCTGTATAGCATCATCAAGCGAAGAAGTTCAAGAATAACTTGCTTGTTGCTAAAGTCCCAAACCAGCTGGTGACGCGGGGCTTTGCCCCTGAGGGCACGCTCACGGCGTTGCTCCTCATGCTTGGTCTTGATAACATCCACAAGGTGCTTCGCAGTCAAGTTTCTCTTGTCAGTGGACTTGACCAAAATGCCCATGTGGTCCAGACTCTTGAGGTGCATGTTCTCCGTCTGCGCATGCCAAACCTTCTCCCACTCCCGCTGCGAGAAGCGCCACTCTTCATCCTTTTGTCTCATACGGGCCAGCAAGACGGGTACCACGTCAAAGGGGTGGCTGTACATGTCATTGACAACGTCAATGCCCCTCTCACCGTAAATTTTCTTGGTAATCCGCTTGAATATTGAAGTGCTCTGGCCAGCAAGGGCAGCAGGCATATGGAAGGTTTCTCTCTCGGCAGGCGACATGGCGAGCATTTGCTGCGCAATGGGCTCCAGAAGTTGAATGCACTTGAGATTAGCCTCGATGTTAAAGTCGTAATCATGGCGCTCTTCTTCGATCCTATGAAGGCCCTCCTCAAACTGATTCTTTCGGTGAGCAACGAAGCCAGAATCTTCACTAGCCCAGGTTGGGTGTGAAGCCCACTGGTCATTGAGAACAGAGTTGCACAATTCATCACGACCGCTGCAGGGCTTCAAGCGCTCCCTCTTAGGAAGGAGTCTGTAGCTGGGCCCGTAGCCACGGCAATTGCTCAGTGATAATTTCTCCGTGGGAGCCGCAGGCCGATTCTCGATTACGACATCTTGAGAATTCACGCCAACAAATGTTTTCCAAAATGTCATGAGGTCAGGATTGGCTCCAATGAAGAGGGCACCCTTGTGGAAGAGCGTATTTCGGTCAATGATGCCCTGGCTGAAAAGGTTGCACAGCTTCAAGAACTCGTTCATCGACGATCGGTTGCTAAGGAACTTCTTGACTCGCTCAAAGAAGGCAATTTCTTCCTGGTTGGAGGTGGCAGACGGGCGAGGAGGATACGGTTCGGGCATGACTGGAGTAAGCGTAGGCTCGATGGTAGAAGCGTCTCCAGTGGCCCTGGCATGGCTGAGTTTTGCCCGCTTGCCGGTTCCATTTACAACAGGTTGTTGAAGTCTGTTTGTCGCATTCGTCTCGGGAGGAGCGGTTTCAGTAGCAGCGGCAGCTTGCTTCTCGGCACGGGGCCTCTTCTTGTTGTCCTTGCTGGCGCTAGGGGGCGGAGCAAAACTTCCCAGGGGAGGCATCTTTTGTCCCCCAGGCTGGGGAGTTTGGCTAGAGCCTGTAGGAGCACTTTCATCTGCACGTCCGGGAGTCGCCTTTGCTTGCCCTGCAGACTCGGGCAGGAATTGTTTGAAGTCCTCGAGCAGGTCCGGCGCGGCATTAAAGAGAGTGGTAACTTGGGCATAGACATCCTGGATGGGTTTTTGTTCCCGCTGATAGGTCTGCAGTATTTCGAGAAACTGCTTATAAATCTCTGGCTTGTCTTGAAAGCGGTTCTTAATCTTATTGACGTAGCTGATGGCGTGGTTAAACTCAACCGGACCACGGCGCTCCATGTTGGCTTGATTTCCAGGACCAGTGCCTGCTCCTCCAGGGCCGGATGCTGGACCCGGAGTCTGTCTAGCGCCTGGGGCGGTGCCAGCGCCGGATTGTCCCTGAGCGGACGCATTTCTTTGCGCAGATCCCGGGGCGTCAAAGGCGCCACTTTGGGCAGCGGCCTGAACAAAGAGGCTGGCGCCATTTTGCAGCGGTGTGCTAAAGTTGGCCTCTGGACTCTCGATGCTATGCTGCGAACGCTGCTGCTGCTGCCACTGGTTGCCGCGCTCTGGGAACAGAGGCTGGCTAGCACCAGGACCGCCATGTTCTCCTTGGCCTCGCCCAGCAATGGACTGTACCGTGGTGCCCATTGGGGTCGTAACTCTGATCGTATTGGGGTCGTTTCCAGCGCCGCATTCAATTCTGTATCCTGGAGGCAAAAATGTGTTAAATCCTTGGATGAGGTTTGGGTGCCCGGCAAAGAGTTCGGAGACGCGGTTAATAACGCCCGGTGTGTCAATGCTGATACCACAGGTCAGAAACGTTCCAAATTTGAGTCGCAGAATGCAAACACATACGCTTGACTCTTGAAATCCTTCATAATGTCCAAGAATCTGTTATAAACATCGGGTTGATCATGGAACTGGACCTTGACTTGGTCCAAATAGGTCAACGCATCCTGGGATTGTACAAAGTTAGCGCTTGATTTGCACAGTCATCGCAACACAAAGGAAAGTCATGTACGAGAAAACTGCGGTAAAGTGCCCATCGCTCCATGTTTTCACCACAGATATCAATCACTCGTTGTCCACCTTCTTGAAACGCTGTCACGAGCTCATCAGTGGCAGTAAAGCTTGGAGGAGATATGCCCCACGCATTCATTTCTGAGCTACGCAGATCTTGAGGCACTTGCCGCTGGGCAAGCGAAGATGACGGTAGCTCCGCATCACTTGATACACGAGATAATAACATGATGTTTCGAAGATGCCAAGACAAGGTTCCTTCTGATACCACAAGCAGCCATGAAGGCGCAGAAACAAGTTGTAGAGGTGCAAAGAGGGGGAGGAAGACTGATAATCAAATGCAGTCACGGAAAGTGACTGGCATCTGATGATTCAGCGAAGGGCACGGCAAACTTGTTCTTCTGATGGCCGCTGGTTACAGCCTTGCACGCCCCAGCCGCCCGCCAATCATCAATTCCCCAAAACAAAAGATGTATGAGCAAAAGCAATACTCACATTCAGAATAGGCTGCTGGCCCTGTGTGATTCCTCCAGGAATCTGATGGCCACCAGGCGTCACCCCCACGATTGCAGCCGCCCCCTTCGCCGCGGCTCCGCGAACGTCCTGCTGCCCAGGCTGTTGCTGTTGTCCCTGCGGCTGCCCCTGGTGAGGACCGCCGAATCCAAGACCAGCCGAGCCCGATGCCGGCTGCGCAGCATTCGGGGGAGCTTGCGAGTGCCCAACCGGCGCATACATTTGGTGCTGCTGCGACCCAGCGCCGCTCTGCTGCAGCGGTCCGCCAAAGTTGACGGGGCCAGACGGCGCGCCCAAAGAAGCACCAGGAGGTGGAGGGTTACCGCTATGGTTGGCAAGCAAGCCGCCAGGGCTGTGTATAGCACCTGGGATTCGTGATGCCACAGGCTGGTGAATGGGGATGGAACCGGCGCTGCTCTGATGGGGAGCTCCTCCGGGGCCGGCGGGACCCTGCTGGTAGCGATCGGCTTGTTCTCTCTCTCGTTCTTGGTCACGGCGCATGTCTTCGTGCTGCTGCATGGCGCGGTGTCGATCGTCCATTTCGCGGTCGCGGTCGCGGTCGTACGGCGCACCACCACTGCGCCCGTGGAGGTTCTGGTTGTTCATGCTCTTTTCAACTGCGACCGGTGCGGCGTTAGCACAGACTGCCTTGTGGATAGTAGCAGGCACAATTGTGCCCAGGCCAGCCCTGTTCTCAATAGCCAGAGAAGCCAATGTTGCCGAGGACTGTGGCACGGATTCCGAAGCTCGAGGCCCCGATCGCGGTCGGCGTCAAGAGGAAAAAAGCATCGTGGGTACTTACAGCTCGTGGGCAGACCTGGGGCAGTGAAACATCTACATGGATGCAGATATTTCCAGGTTTATAGCGTCTCAGAGTCTGGGGATAAAAGAAAATAGATACAAAAAGTCGACAGAGGAGAGGCGTCAAAGGGGGTGGGTGACGGGGTGGTTGAGAGCAGAAACCCAAACCACAAGAAAACGCCAGTGCAAACTTGGGAAGCTCTCCTGGCAAAAGAGCAGCAGAGGGTGACGAGATCTGATGGGGCCTCGCACAACGCACCGCGGGTCAGTCCGCGTCACGTGGTGATAAGCCGCTTTGGTGGGGACTTATCGGGCAATCGGGGTCGCCGAGGCTGGCCATTCAGGTGCCTGGGCTTGTCAGCGCCATCCACCGATGCCCCCCCAGCGTAAGCAATACGGCTCAGCCTCGCCTCGTTGAGCGAGCGACTTGGGGAGACAGAGAGGGGGTAACTAGACATCACACCCAATGAAATGAAGGAATTCAATCCTGTATCATATATGAATGGAATTCAATAACCATGTTTCTAGGACTATCTCTCTTTAGTCTATCTCACTGGTCACACCCCAACTCCAAACGTGAATACTAAAGCTACCAAACCATGCCCAAGGGTTACACACAATCCTTGCTATATCATACATTCTTCGTGAGCAGACAAATCAAGAAGCATTGTTTTTAATAATATACTAGAAGTTCTTGAAAACGATCCCTACCGCCTCCCGATCTATGCTCAAAACAATTTTAACATGCCTACACGTCGTCACCTCCAACTTCGTCCAAGGTGCTTGAAGGTGGACTCAACAAAGATGACTCCACAACCTCGTGGATCGGGCCTCCATTTTGACAATCATTTGGCATCAAAGGACTCTGGGCGTTTGCAGCCTCGTCTTGTTCTCTCTAGGACGTCGGCGGCGGCGGCTGTGGCTTTCGGATGATCTTGATCTTTGGCCTCGCGCTGACTGGTGTCGCAGAAGCAGGGGGGCTACTAGCTTTGCCAGCCGATGGTGTTGCAACCTTGGTGTCAATAGACACCTTTGGCGTTGACTGTGGGACAGGAGAAGCAGTCCCCGGCAGTGGTTTTCGCGTAACTTCGCCTGAAGGTAGCGGTTTTCTAGGCTTGGCAGTAATGCTGTCCTTGGAACTTCCCAGTACGGCTTCCTTGGGGGGTCCAGTAGGAAGGGCTGTTCTTGCAACCGGCGCTAGGCCCAATGGCAATCCAAGTATTACAGCCAAACGCTTAGGGTTGCCCGTCTTCAGCGTCACCATACGCCTCTTCTTGGATACCTTGTCACCGTTGGTGAAAGATGACTCTGTCTTTGGACGTTTTGGTACAGGAGTGCCGCCATCATTCTCTGGCCGAGGTCGTTTGGGTGCGGCTGACGCAGGCGTCGCGCCGTTTCCTAGATTGGTAGCCTTCGTCGCCGTACCATTGGTGTTTGATGCCAATGATGCGACAATCGTATCGGTTTCGCTCTTGCGTGGAGCAGGAATAGGTCGTTGCGGTGTAGACACCTTGGTAGTGCTGATTTTGATGGACGACGTTCTAGGAACAGGGGCCGGTCGAGGAACTTCGGGAACGTCAGGGAAAGTGATGGGATGCTTGGGCTGTGTTTTATAGTGTGACTTGAAGTTCACAATAAGTCGATCAGCCAGCCTCTGAGCATGTCTCTCCACCTTCCATGCCTTGGGTAGATTGAGCGTCAACACCCAGCCCTGGGTTTCCTCAAACATCATAGCCGCCAGGTCCAACAAGCTCTCTACTTCGTTCCGTCCTAGGCCAGGATGATCCAGAGCCTTGCGCATTGCATTGCTGTAAAATCTTTCGTCCTTGACGTACATCTCATCCATTTCCTTTCGCAAAGCCTTCAGAGCAGCATCAAGATTTTCTTTACGGGCAATCCTTTCCTTCCTCGCTTCAATCTCCTGGGCACTATCCTGCACCAAGAGAAGCGTCTCTTCGATATCGTCTGTGGTCGGTTCGTTCTTAACGATCTTGGTATGTTCTCCAAAGGCGATTGCGGCAAGACCGCTGGCCATCGCTTGAATGAGCTTGTTGCGAACGAATGGGGATTTGTCCGTCATGAGTGCAAAGAGAAAGAAAGTGAAGAAGGTTGCTTCCATCATGGCTCCCAAGTCTATGAGAGCCTCAAAGGCCTTGATACGGATCAAATCCCGGCTCCCGTCCAACAGATATTGGGCGAAATCAGGATAGCTCTTCGGGATGACCTCTGCCTTCATAAGTCGTTGTTTTGCGTCCAGGCCAGCAATGGTCCACACATTCTGGTATGAGTTGGTCCATTCGTCGCGTCGCAGGACTCGTTCGATCTGTTCCATGGCTTTCTCGAGAAACAAACGCTCCTCTTCATCCGGTGCTTTACTCTGACGAGAAAGCCAGTCGTCCTTCTTGGATGGAATAAGAGATGTGGCAAGAGCTTCGACAAGGGTGGCGATGTAGAAGTGATCAGAGTATGGGTTGTCTTCGTTATTGTTGAACAAGAGCTGGTTCAAGATAAACTGGCGCGCTTCCAGCGGACAGCGGTAGGTGTGGTCCCGAACTTCGGAGATGGCTTTAATGATAGCGCGCCTAACATTATACTGTTTTTTGTCTGTAAAATCGTTTGGAATTGGCTGGTTGGTCTGTTCGTAGCAGAACATTTCGCGGAATGCCCTCATGAGCTGTCTCAAACCTAGCAGCGGGATTCCCTTAATATTCGATTGCCGCGGTAATGCTTCGGCAGCCATTGTCCGGATACCATGAAAGTACCGTCGGTCAATCAAGGTTCGGACAAGGAAACCGGAGGCAATGGGGTGGAGTGGTCCATGGGTGAGATAGAGCATGGCGTCTTGCTGTGCTACCACGTCCCTATCCTGTTGTAGTTGGGAAACGTACATGTACGGCTCGAGAGTGCGCTTCATATCGCACGCCCATTCGAAGTCGGCATCAACACGGATCCATTCATAAGACTCTTGATCCATCTTTCGCTCCGTCTCTGGGTCCCATTCTATCAGTTCCCAATCCCTGTGATCATCCGGGGTCTGAAGTACGTCTCCAAGACAATAAAGTAACGCATCATCTGCATTCTCGGTGATCTCCATGCTCCCACCACCACTATGTTTTTCCTTCATGCGTCGTGTACGCTTGAGTCGCTTATACTTGGTATTGTAGGGGATTTCAAACTTTGTTGATCGCGTGGCATCCTCTCGTATTTCGAGAATGTGCTCATAGGGAGTGCCATCAGCTTCGTGGATCCGCACAGTCATGGGTCCAGTAAACAATGGCTGTACCTCTCCCAACTTCAGGCCGGCTCGTCGTTCTTTAACAACCCGCAAAAAGTCGTCCTTTTCCAGACCCCCCGTTCTCTTGGCTGCTTGGTGTTGTATCTGATTAAGAGTCAACTCCACGCAAAGCCTCTTCTTGTTGAATTTTGCCTTGACTTCAAATCTAGGGCAGCCTGAGCCATATACCCACTGGTTCCAAAAGGCCTCCAGCCGATACCGTGAGCCCTTCTCGCAAACAGCTCTAAATTTCTCAGTATCCAGAATAGTGGAACGATCACTGCTTTCGATCTGTGCCTTGGTCAAGAATTTTTGAAGTATCCTCGTCAGACCATGGCCACCAGAGGCTTTAATCATTCGTTTGTCGAGAATAAAGAAGACCACAGGCACCTTCAAGGACATAAAATCCATTTCGAACTCTCCCAGGTGCAAGTTTGGACCAAGATCAAATAACGACGGCCGATCGATATCGACATTGACCAGCTTGTCCGACATGATCTTCATACGGAATCGATGTTCATTGTTTCCACAGAGCTTCTTCATGAATAAATCAGTCATGTAATGCGCAATGCCAAGAACAAGCCAGAGATCATTGCGGGTATTGGGTATCATATTAATGCCGATCCACTGGTAGGTCAAAGTAAAGACGATTTTCCTGGTTGTTTCGATTTCGGTGTCGATGATTTCCTCTGGGAACAGCAGGCGCGTGCTGATAAATGCCAGAGAGTGCAATGGTACAGTGTCCTCCACCATGTCTTCGAGAAAACAGATTTTGAAGTTGCCAAAGGGGTATTTAGCAAAGGTGTAGGTCAGGAAATCTGCTGCCATTGTCAAAGCTGCCCCTGTACTGCGTACCCAGTCGGCGCGGCCAGGCAAGCAGTAGGCATGGACCTTCAAGGCGCTCACGCCGAGCTTGACTTCATCCTCCTCTGTTCTAAATTCAGATGACAGGTCTATATGCTCGAAGGGCCCGATAGCGAATCCCAATTTTTGTACTGATACCTTCTTTTCTGGCTCAAAGGTCATGATCTTCTTGTGGTCATTTTGAGGGTCAATCATCTCCTCCATGAGGAACCCCGAACAAACAACAGTCATTTCTCTAAGCTTGTCTTCTTCTGCCAGCATCATCTTGCGGTCATCGTGATCATGGGACTTGTCAACTCCATTGACCGTGGTGTCCTTTTGGGTAGCCAACGCTTGCTCGAGCGCGTCTCCGAGAGTTCGGGGAAATCGTATTGAGATCCTCCAGTCACAACGGGCGCCATGATCGTCAACACAAGGAAAGATGCATGATGCTGTTCCCGGTTGAATCGAATGTCGCGTATACATGTGTGTGTACCGATTGTCAAGGGCATCCTCTCCAACGAAATGCAGGCCATCGCGAGGATTCTTGTTGGTGAAGGGGACAGTAACTTTGAACTGCTTGTGTCCCTTGTTGGCGCCATCGACATTCAAAGCGGATTTCCTTATAATCAACTTGGGGCGCTCGCTGTCCTTCCCCCCACGAAGACTGACCTTCAATGACCCGTAGACTGGTGTGCATCCCTCGATCTCTCTATTCTCGGCGGGGACATCGGTCTTTCGGTTGTGGAAGACGTTTCGGGCTCTTCTCCGACGAAGGTCATGGTGTTCGGCTCTCCAGTTCCAGCCCTTGGAATGGGAAAGTCTCTGGTACGGATCCTGATATTCGGCAGGTACCTTTTGTTTTTGTCCCTCAATCGCTTCTCCGTGGGCTTCTCGCATTTCGGTTATGGTCACATTATTGGTGTCGATTTCGCAGTGAGCTGCATCGAGATGAATCTCCTCGACATTATCGGAAAAAATGACGATATAAATGTCAACAGTGCCATCGATTCTTCGCTCGCGAAAATTCACGTCCAGCCTTGCCTCCTGCTTGATGACAAAGAACTCTTGAACGGGATCGTCCTTAATCGGCCGCAAGTTATCGTTTGTGTGTAGCAGAGGGTGCTGCTCGGCACCATCGAGAAGCGACATGGTGGTTCAGCTTGAGGTTCTTTGACAGCTCCGAATGCCCCGTGTTTGGTTTCGATCCCAACTCCCTGCGCGAGATGGTCATTAAAGACCTCGCAGTAGCGAGCGCCCTTTTATGAATTTTACAGGTGCATTCGGATATCGGGGTCTCACGAGTCGTCGGTCGCATTCATAGCAATAGTAGGCGAAGGAAGGTTGCGGCACGACGAGGAGGTGGTTGGCAAGTGATTAATGGAAGAATGTCGGGAGATGCTCGTAATGAGTCATACGCTTGGCAGAAAAAAGAATAGCGGCACCAAGAGCGCAGGCACGACGCACCGTGAATATTTGTGCGTGAGGAGCGGGAGGCGTATGGTATCCTCGAGTCGCGGATGCTCGCGCTGCCTTCATCCCCAAAAGTTATCCAAGAGTTGGCAAGCTTGCCTACGACGCACGGACCACCTTGAGGTGTGCCTGGTCCGCAAGTGCACCGAAGTGGGTCCAGCCTGTCACTTGTCATCCATATGCTTCACACCGTGAATTAAGACGCCCAAGATAAAGTTCAGACACGATTCAAAGGTTGTTTCAATCGTCTCCGTACATGGATACAGTCCATCTGTTATCTTATGTACCTGTAAGCTCGTATGCTAGTGGTGCAGTCCAACTCATGTTACGCTCAAAATCAACGACAACTCGTCCTGTTGCCAATCCCATGCCACGCCTCATGCCCCGGCCCTGCGTGCTAAACAAATGTTCCACAGTTGATAATGCACAAACTCGTGAAATATATACTACACTAGAAGGTTCTGACAGTAGTCTCTGAGCTGGAGACCCGGACCCTTGGACCCCAACGCCACGCAAACATGAAGAAAGTTTAAATAATGAAAAAAAGGCAAAGCGTGAGCGAACACGCGGCCATGTCTCGGGGTGGCTTGGGGTATCAGGAACTGAAAAGGAGAAAGTTAACTCAGCGTGTAGCGGTATTAGGGCCTGCTACTACGCTTGTCTCTCCGTTTCTTGCGTGCCCTGGACTTGAGCAGTTCCTCGTCGCGATACTCTTCCGGTAAGACAAAGTCGGCTTCTTCCAGGTCTGGAATAGGATGGCCCCAGGCTAACACCTTGCGGCCGATGCGACGTGACCGGTTAAGGGCGTTGTCTCGCTCATATTTCTTGCCGAAAAAGGAAGTAAATTCTTTCTGCGCGTCTGCTGATTTGGGGGGTGTAGACCGTAGCGACGCTTTGAGCTTTCTAGCATTTGCTGCTGCCAATTGTGATCTTGCCAGGGCCTCTTGACGAAGCTGCTTGGCAGGTGACGCATCACTGGTATCGCTCTGTGATGTCACAACCTCTTCTTCAGTGTCTTCCAAGACTTGGTCTGCGTCATGTTCCATTTTGGTGTCTCCTCGGTTGTCGTCACTCTCGTCGACGTCGTCTTCTGCGGCTGAATCCTCAATTTCATCTGCCTTGAGGGGTTCTTCCTGCTCGACCTCCTCTTGTTGAGCCAGCGCAGCCTCTTGCTCGGCCTGCAAGACTTTCTCCTTCTCTAGCTTTCGCCGCTTCTCTTCCAAATTCCATGTTCGGAATTTTTCTAATATGCCTTGACAGCCCTTGACAAAATGAGCACGCGCGGGCTCAAAGGACTTCTTCCTCGTCTCTGTTACACCACTAACTCCCATTACTCTCAGCCAATCGTGGCCCTGGAGACCCTCCAAAAGCCGAATTATTTGGTCCTTCTCATGCTGGGCACGACCCTTTTCGGAGTTACGTATGGACCGCTCTAGTCGCTCTGCTCTCTTATGCGAAGGCTCAAAGAGACTATCCGGCAATGGGTCGTCGAGGTTTTTATTAGTTTGCTGGGTCTCTAAGAACTTGAAATCGATTCGTTGCGAATCAAAAACGTCGGTGTATAAAGAATCGCCATATCCACGAACTGGGAATTCAAAGATGCCGCTTTGCTGCTGCACCCGTGCTCCTCCACGCTGGGCCTCAGTGATGACGCGTCGAGGATTCGAGTCAACCACAACAATTGGGGTTTCAAGGTTCAACAAGTCTGCACACCATGTGAGTACGATGCGCAAAACAAAAAGAAAAGAGAAAAAAAGGAGGATAACTGTGCCAGAAGAACTCGGCACAGTGACGCATACATACGTTGCTCCTTGGGATCATTTCCAATCACTTCGTCGTAGTCTGGAAAGTAGGCAGACAAGTCACTCTTGAATCTAGTAGCCTCCTGAGAGCGTAGTTTGCGCCCCTGTTCGCGGGTAGATGAGGCTTGTGGCTGCAGCCGGTCAAGCTCCGCTCGGATGCCATTGATGACCTTGGCTTGGTGTTTTGTGAGATTTGGCTCCTGCTCCACGGGACCGGGAGGTTTCGGCTTGAGGGCCGCAGTCACGAGCGGAGCCAACACTGCGTTGGAATTGGCCGCAGGAGGTATCAGGACCGGCGGCGCGACTCCCGCGGTCGTCGGGATGGGCTTTTGTATGGTTGTGTTTGCCACGGCTGGCGGTGGTGCAAGCGGTATCGGCGGAAACGGAGGCTGGACGACGGTCGAGGCCCGCACCCCTTGGACGGGCGGCGGTTGGTGTCTGGCGAGTATTTCCACGGCGATTCTCGTCTTTTTGGGCTTCAAGGCATCGATTTCACGATCGGCAGGGTCGAGGGCTCGCTTCTGACGGCCGCCTCGACCTGCACCGTCGCTCGAGGCAAACAGGCTGGCGGCCGGGTTGGCCGGGCGCGTGAGGGGGCTGGCGAGATGATGCGTGTGCGGGTGCGGGTGCGGATGATGATGGGGATGGGGATGGCCATGGGCATGGTGAAGGCCCTCAGCTCGCCGGTTGGAGCGGGTGACGGAGGCCATTGACGATGAGGACGAGGCCTGGCATTGTCTGTCGCCGTCTGCTGAGGTCAGTCTCGCAATCAAGACGAAGCGCCCTTGATTTCTCGATGGCGGTTTTCCGTCTCTGCTGCTTGCTGGTCTGTTTTTTTTGTTTTTTTTTTCCGCCCCTGCTGTCGACGTCTGGTCTAGTGCTGAATGCGAGACGCTTTCGGTGTGGTTGGTGGGCAATCAGCGATGTGGGTGCCCTGAAGCCCGCTGGCGCCCACTTCTAGCCTGTGCGATTCCAGCGGTCGTGCCTGCCGGCGTCCAGTGCGCCTCAGTGCCTAGCGTGCTGTCGCCCTTCAATGTTGAGCACTGTGAATCCACCCGCCCTGTAGTTCACGCGTTCTGTTGTTGGCGTCGACGGTGCCAAGCCGAAGTGGGCTACCCTATACACTAGTTTGCGAATGAACCGAATCGGAGGAGCCTTACATTTCAAAATGATCGCAAAGCAAAGACTAGAACATACAGCGATCACAAAATCTGCAACTCGACGGTCGATGCGACTGGTGTCAACCCATCTTACTTTAAATGTGGTTATTTTAGCTCTCCCTCATCCACGAACCAAGATCTCGCACTTAAGCCACCCGCACTACCATCAGCCGCCATCGCAAGTATTTCCAGTCACGCATTAACACAAATACAAGGTCATACAATGTATTCAAAACAATAGGGGGTATATAAACATCCAACCGTCAGCGCCGGCAGCTCACTTGGCATGCACCGGCAAACTCTTAATCTTTTCCATGACTCTATCACTCTTGCTCATTTCCCGCTTGACCTTGTCCGCCTCCTCCCTCTCCCTCTCCAACACCCGCCTCTCCTTTTCCGCACTCTCGCTCTTGTCCTTCTTTTCCTCCTCCTGCCGCTGCACCTCCTCGGGCGCAACCAACTTGTCTTTGCCGTGCATCAGCTTCCCCACGAGCTCCTTGCCCTTTTTCCTCGTCTTGAGGTACGTCTCCAGCCCGACGAGAATGGTGTACGACTTGGATATAGACACGTGGCTCATATCCACGCCCTCCTCCTTGAGATTCTTCACAAAGGCGCGGAAACTGCTCGCCGGCGGACGGTAGTGGCCGCTCAGTGGCGACAAGGATGACAGGCGGCCTTTTTTGATCTTGATGAGTCCGGCGGCAGAGATGCGACTACCCTGGAGGAAGGACGAGTGTTGGAAGGCGCCAGAGTCCTTAATGCCGACATAGAGTCTGAAGGAGGTGTCTGCCACGAAGATCCACGTGTTTTTCTTGACTGACTTGCGTAGGAGCTGGTTGAAAATGGTGGAGGCGGAAATGTGCGTGACCCTCTTGAGTCCCTTGGAGTCGTCGAAGCCGGGATCGGCGTACTTGGCGGCGCGGTCAGCTTCGCGCTTGGACTCGTCAGATGAGTCCGAGTCGTTGTCGTTGTCGTCGTCATCGTTGTCTTGTGAGTGCAGGTTTTGCGAGGCCGTAGGCGCGAATGCCGGCGTGGGATCGTCAAGGGGCACGACGCCGTGGATGCTGTCCTTGAACTGTTCGGTGGTGTCGATCCGGGCACCGTTCTTCACCCAGCATAGACGTCCCTCTGCGTCCACCCGGACGAGGTAATACTGTCGTTCTTCGCGGGACAAGTACCGTACTTGCTCCCGCTCAAGTCTATCCCGCGGACATGTGTCGAGCTCGATGAATCTGCCCTCGCCGTAATCCAACCAGTAAAAGAAGTTCTCCTTTGTGTCCGACTTCTTCCACTCCTCGTGGTACATGCGCAAGTTGCTACCGTACCTGTGCTTCGAGTCCACCATTTCCAAGAAGTACTGCAGGCCCAGCATACGAGCAGCCTGGCGTCGCTTAGCAGTCGCCTTGACACGCCGTTCCTTGGCCGCGGCTTTCTCCTCGGACGTCATGCCTTCCAAATCGCCCTCGTCCGAATCAGACTCCGAGTCGGAATCATCGTGTCCTGCGCGGCGGGCCACCAAGCTTGCCTTTTTCCATTTCTGCCTTGCACTGGCCGGGCGATAATCAATGGGGTCCTCGAGCGCGAGAACATCGCCGTCGGCGGCAGAAGGCGAAGCAGCAGTAGCGTGGGGCTTTATGCCTTGGCGAAACTGCGCTTCTCGAACCGCCGTGACCCATCGTGTGCTCGCGTTCAGACTGTAGCCTTGCAGCTCCCGTCT